TCACATAGAAATATATATATATATATATAGAGAGAGAGAGATAGACAAATAGATCAAACCATATTGTAATAATTCGCGAGCACATTAATACAAACAGACATAATATCTATCTATCTATCTATCTATCTATCTATCTATCTATCTATCTATCTATCTATATATATATATATATATATATATATATATATATATATTATATTAATATACATTAGTATATATTTAAATACAATTTAAATGCTGCAAATATCCCTCTAGAATAGTTCGAACTTGCTGTGAAAACCGAGGACACTGGAGAAACACTTTCCACCAAGGTATAACTTCTATCTTTCTATCTATCTATCTATCTATCTATCTATCTATCTATATATATATATATATATATATATATATATATATAGATAGATAGATAGATAGATAGATAGATAGATATTAAGTCTGTGGGTATTAAGTTAAGTATTTGTCAAAAAGTATAACTAACTTTGAAAAAGAATCAACCATCTGAGAGAATTAAGACTAAATAAATCTCAAAGAATATATCACACTTTTATGACGGCTAAATTGTGAATCCCGTGTAGAATTGTTGCCTCATACGAGACATAAGCAAAAAAACTAAACTGAAACATACTCATACGTCGAAAACGACGGGAGACGCCATCATTCATATATATATATATATATATATATATATATATATATATATATATATATATATATATATATATATATATATATATGTATGTATAAGTGCAGGTATGCAGAAAATAGAAAAGAACACGTTGGGTGCATAATCCGGAGTTCCTTAGTATTTTTGTTTTTATTTCTAAGAAGACAGTGCTCCATACAGAAGTAGAGCTTCATTATAATAATATTTTTTATTTAAACAAAAAATATTATCATATATATTATATATATATATTTTTTATATATATATATATATATATTTTAAATATATTATATATATATATAATATATATATATATATATATATATATATATATATATATATATATATATATATATATATTACAATTGGAACTAAGATACCAAACGGATAAAACAGACAAAGCACCAACAATCACAATTTAATTTCAAGATACCATCAAAATAATTGCATCTATCATTATTATAATTACACCACCATTAGTAATCACTTTTACTACAATACCTTTTAACTAACAATATTATCATTACCACCAACGCACACCACCATCACTTACACATCACACCCACTATTAACATATAAATCCACTACAATCTTTATTACTCCCCCAGCATATTTAATACCTTAAAACAATATGATCAGATATAATTTCCATATGTAACCATGAGAATAAACACCTATTACCAGGCAGCTTTAATATAATAACAATAATAATTTTGTAATTAAAATATTATCTCCAACTACCATAATTTTGCACAGAATACCTATTATCAGGATTTATACCAAAATAAATTAATACATATAACAAAATAAAACAAAAATAAAATAAAATACCAACAACCACTTTTTAGTTCAAGCTACCACCACTATAACTACATTCATGGTTTTATCATTCTCCCACCACCGTTACTAATCATTTCTACCAATTTACAATTTTCTACCAATTTACAACTATTAGCTAACTATCATTGTCTCCAATCCCTTGAAACGTTACTATCACATCATATCATATAGACCCGTTATTAAATTGAACTACCCTCTCACCCAGCATATTGAATATTAAACTAAACATCACCATATAAATTATCCAATAAGGATTACAAATTTCTACCTGTTACATATACACAGTCACCAAAAACAAACAAATAACCAGCTTTAAATATAACATATAAACCCCCATTTTTTTTCAAAAATTTAAAAATAAATATAAATAATAATAATTTTTACCCATCATAATTTTACACAAACCCCACCACACGCATATACATACATGCGAAGAAATATTTTTCAGCGGGAAAACACTTAATATGACATGTATACAGTAACGAGACATTTCCGCCACTGACATATATGGGCTGGAGCACCTTCTGCTTACCTTGGAGTTCTTGACAAGATCCAGAAAGTATATGTAATCTAATTGGCCCTGATCTAGTGTCTTGTTTGCAGTCACTCTCTCACAGACGCGCCGTCGCCTCTCTCTGTCTTTTTTCTACAAATACTTCCATGGTAACTGCTCTTATGAGCTGCTCTCTCTGGTTCCCAGACTCCATGAATTCAAGCGCCCTACGAGGTTGGCATCTCGCTCTCACCCTTACACCGTAGAAACCTTCAAATGTAGCCGTCTCTTCTACTCCAATAGCTTCATACCTCGCACCTCTCGCCATCTCCCCAATTACTGTTTCCCTGAAAGCTCCAACTATTTAAATGTAATGTCAATCGACATCTCAATTAACTTGATCTACCCTCTATCCTTCTCCTCTTCCTTTCTCCTATCCTCTTATCTGCTCTCGCTCCAAATCTTCACGCCTAGTGGCTTCACGTCTTGGGGGCACAATGCTTAAAAAAAAAAAAAAAAAAAATTCGAATGTTTAAATTTCAACATTTCAACATACAAATGCGTATGTATAGATATAACACCACCCGTATACATACATGTGTCATAGCCGAAACTGCCCACATATGTTTATATATGTATGAGTCCCGACGGACGACCAAGTATGTATATGTGTCTGCATACTTCGATGTTTGCGTTAGTACGATGAATGACAAAACGACGAAATTTCCCCCACCACTTCCACAATAACACCAATACACGCAATCTACATAAACCTAAATTTTTTAAAACATTAATCAGTTTGTCTGACGATCGCTAAAGCATGAAACCCAGGGTCACAAACTCACATCTATCCAACCAAATATATATATATATATATATATATATATATATATATATATATATATATATATATATGTGTGGGGGGTGTCGTCTAATTGTTGGTCGGACCATGAGTATTCCACAAACATCAAGGATTTATTCTGATGTGTGGTCATTTAGTCAGATTTTAACAAATCAGTCGAGCCGTGCAGTTTTCAGCAACGCCTCGTAGATATGTCTGGATACTGACATAGAGTAAATAAAATATAAGTCATAAGCTTAAACGAAAATATATATTATGCACACACGTGAAGACTGCCACGTATAAATAAAGATAATTTACGATATGAATTTCACTATATATCAATATTTTCTGTTTCTACGATTATCTGTTTCCATGCGAAGAGAAAGATTTAAAAAGAACTAAGAAGGAATCACACAGAGAAGAATAGAGAACATTAATAGTTTTCAGGCCCAATAACCAAATCGCTGTTAGGTTCTATCTACCCGGCAAACAACTGATACCTCACCCTCACACAGACACACACACACACAACTGGCAATATACGGTATGTAAATCTAAATGCGCGGTATACTTAATGAAAATTTATATTTAAATGTTGATATATGCTCCGGATCTATGTAAAGACGGCTTAAATGTGGCACAAATCTGAAAGTAGGGGGCACCCAGTGAGGATCTAACTCAGTATTTATTCGTAATTGATCTGGCTATACATGCTAGCTAATCATTACAGAGAGTCGAAGTATCCCAGATTCAGATAGATATGAACAGAAGTATAGATAGATAGATAGATAGATAGATATGAACAGTCTTAGGTACATAGATTTATATAACCAGTCTCTGCAAGATAGATAGATAGATAGATAGATAGATAGATAGATAGATAGATAGATATGAACAGTCTTAGGTTAATAGATTTATATAATCAGTCTCTGCAATATAGATAGATAGATAGATAAATAGATAGATAGATATGAACAGTCTTAGGTTGATAGATTTGTATACACAGTCTCTGCAAGATAGATAGATAGATAGATAGATAGAT